TCTCTACTCTACATATGTCTGAGACAGGAAAATCCGTGTACATTCTCTTTTACAAGAAAACTACTTTTCTTTCTGCAAGGGCAAGAAAATATAAAAATATACCAAAGTGATATATCCTCAAAAAGTTATCCCTTGTTCTAAAATAAGTTATGGCAGCTCAAAGTGCAAAATCATGATTAATGTAAGGTAATAAAGCCAAAAGACAGTGACATGTACGCACTACCCTATATTTGAATTCGTAAAATGCCGAACAAAGAACACTTTAAGAATTTCAATCAGCAACAATCAATATATCAATATCTATAAAATATCCAAATAAAATGATGTTTTACCTGTTCACATCACGGTTTTTATCAAGGGGAAGAGATGGTTTCCAACAAAATCGGCTTCGAAACAGCTACAAGGCAGCTACAAAGCAAAGCTGGAGGAGTGTGAATGGTGGTTCTCCGCAATGGCTTTCCACTAAAAGGAATCAGATGGTATACAAAACAAAACTTACTGCTGGAGGTTAAAATCCCATAAAAAAATGGACGGGTGGTAGTACCCAAACCAATTCAGCTAAACGCAAGGTACAAAATAAAAGGGTACTACTCCATAAACTGTTGCTTGGGGCGTTAGTATCCCAAAATCTGGAAGTTAACAAAGAAAACGCCCGCACACAACCAAAACTACAGCAGATAGTAAAATGGCGCTGGACCGCCTGCGCACGCAGCTCCCTAAAAGAAGGTTGAATAAGTGGCCCTGAAGAAGACACGTTCGACAGGGCATCAAAAGGAATAGATAAAAGCCGGTAAAGAAGGTATCTTGATAGGAAGGTAAACATTCATATACGGCTAGTACGTGTAAAAATCACAAGATGGCGCGCTGGTTGCCTATGGACAGACTGTAGGCAGAAACAAATGTCTACGAGAGACCAACAATATTCTACGAGGAAATTTCTCAGATAGAAGAAAGAATACAATACTGAGTCGCTGAGAATGACAGATATAATACGTGTGAAATTCTACAATGAATAAACTATGAAATTTGACAAAAGAAAATCATTAAGAAGGGTTTCGTCTAGGAATGGGCACTCTATAATCAGTAAAGAGAAATTCAAATTACTGGTAATTGATCAAAACAGTAAAAAAGGTTACGTGATTTTGTCACGTGACAAATTTTTTCATACCACATCCATCTCGATCTTTGAGGATGGTATATAAGGAAGATAGTAGCCGTAGGGTGGCGAACGTTAATATTGTACGCACGTGCGCGCTATAGACAACACATAACACAACAACCACGACTCAGAATAAAACATCCGAGGCAGAGATTCGAATCCGCGAACTCGGGGCTTCCATATAAAGAAGATAAATCTATCACTCTTTTTCATCTATTTGACCTTTCCCGTGGTGTTATGGTAAGTTTTGGAAGAAGAAAAATTAAGATCATGAGAAAACTGTTGTGGCACTGTTGACAGTTAACATCACATGCTCCTTCAGGTATTTCGATATATCTGCACTAATTGCAAAACTATATGCACCAGCTCGACACTAGCTTCACAAAAAATGCTATAATTTTTTTAACACCCATTAACCTGCGAACGTTAAATACAGATGAACAAAGAGTAAGATAGACTTTGTTTTTGAAGTCGGTGAAGCTCGATATTCTTATGAATTGGTTTCACTACAATTTTTAAATCGTCTGCAAGTCTAGTAGACAAATAATTTCATCGCCTTCATACAAGGAAACCTCCAATTTTGTTCTACTTCATTTTTAACTGCATACTTTTGCTATCTATTATTTATTCTGTACATATTGGTTCACTTATTAGAGTTCTTACTATTAAGACAATTATACTAAACTATGTTTTCAGAAATGATTGCATAACCTATATATCTCGCAAAATCGATTATTTAGAACATAATTTCTGTCAATATGCAGTTATCTATTTTCAATTTCTTACCAATCTTAATTTCTTAATGATATATGTAGAAGCATTCATATTTGTTTTTGCGGTTCAATTTCCATGGAAATGTTGCTTAGGTACTATTAAACGTGTAATTAATATAGATATTTAAACTTCTTGCTTCATATCTATTACGGATAATTGAAATACTGAAAATAAGTGACAGTTACTCAAATGGATATTGACACTGTTAATATTGATTAATCCATTTCCTTTATGAAACATTCAACAGCTATTCGTTTGCGACAACTGGTACCAATATGGCGCCCATAAAAATCTAAGAACGAAACGTTAGATTGAAGTTGTGCTACCTGATAGAGGGGAAAAAGTGTTAGTGTTAGTGTACAAATCATTTTGAAATTCGATCTGGAATATACATGAAAAAAGTAAAATTATTTTTGAAAATTTTGCCTAGTCTGAATATTTCATGAAATACTATTTCATGATTACCTAAATATCTCCAAGTATATTGCAACGAACAACATCAAAGTATAGTGGAGTGATATTATTTTCATTTGTGGTAACTGCTAAACTTGAAAATGTTATCACATTACGAGTATAAAAATTGGAGGCCAGATCGACAATTTTAAACGGAGGAATGAATGAAACGTTAATCAAATCAACAAAAATGTTAGAATTATTGTCCAGCTCGCCTGTAATAGAACCAGAGCAAGAATTGCAATCCAATAATGTTATCTGACCACTGTATTTGAACTCTGTGCCGGTTGATGTAAAAGTTTTATTCAATAATTATGATGCATTAAACATTTCAAGCCCCGATTACAGGGTATTAGGGAGTCTCGCTGTTTGCCTGCTTTTTGATCTTTTATTTCAGTGGTTTTCAAGTACCTAGTTTCAAGGACTATCAGTTAGCTTGGCCCCATTTTTCTCGTGGTGTGAAAGACACCAGGTGCGTATCATAGCCAATCGCTGTGTCTAAACGCGAGCTGGAGAAAGGAAGGCACGGATGGCGTAAAAAGTGCAATTAGGACATCGGCAACAGCAATTAAGGGCGTTTATTAGTCCAGGAGAGAAGACCGGAATCCATAGACAGTCGATAATTCAAGCTTCAGCGGCAAGCAGCAGCCGTTGGGGATGCATGCGCCACCCCAGATGGCCCCAGCGACTGTTGGTGTGATATAGGGGTGGTAAATTAACACGCGAGGATGAGATACGCACGTGGTAGTTGCGGTGGTGCCGGGGTGATGAAGCGCCCCTAACATATGTTAGGGTTTTTTTCAATCAGCAGTATGTTATTTTCTGTCAACAACGTATTGCATGCAAGTCGAAAATCTTTTACTAAAATGAATGAGTTTTCTAATCCTAAAGTTGTCAATGATGGTCATTGTCCAAATATAGAAAATGTGGCCTTAGGAATCTTATCAGACAACCACGCAACAACCAACAAGTTTGGCCGGTTATTGAATTTTTCTTTTTCAACTCATTTTCGTCCTTGTTTCTATTACACAGTACTATACCCAACCCTCTCCCCCAACTTATTTTGTGAACGGCACCCATATTACGTAACTTAAAAAGCGACATTATGCTACTTACACTACTTTGGAAAACAGGAGCTTCAAAATCAGGTAACAGATGACCCCCATTCCATTCAAAAAATGTGCCAAAATAGCGCCCATTTTTAAATTTTCAGCTGCCACATTTACGCTAAAACCAAGTCTCCAAAAATAAATAAAGTAATACTGTAGTCAGTTTATTCTATGTTATGAGAAATGCTATTTTATAACTAGCTATAGACCTTTTTGGGTTAGGCCATCCACCTCAAATTTTAACCTTAGGTCTCTACTCCCAATACTTGTTCGTCCTTAGTCGTTATCGGCAATGCTTTTCTCGTATTGAATTATATAAAAATGAATAGAATTAATACGTGTAAAAAAACACAAGTAATATTTATCTGATCAAATTTACTTCTCATTCGTAACCTTTCTTATAAGAACCTAATTATATAAATGCAACATGATCGAGAAACAAAATAAGTGGAACATATAATATTAAAGTCATCATCCCAAGGCACAATTTTTTTGTTTTCGTATTTAAAATGCGATGCAAGTAACGATTTCTTCAATAATTAACTTTGTAATCAACTTCTTGCACACACACCTAATTTTCAAGAAATACATTCATTGGATATGGACTTGTAGTTCTATTAACCAATACTCTTCACACCAAATTGCAAATCATATAATTATATATGCAAAATGCGGTACAACTAGTGTTACTTGCGCTTTTTGTACTCCATAATTTACCATAAAATTTATTTTGTTTGGAATAAATTTAATAAAGCGATTACCCGAGGTAAGAAAGTGTGGATAATATTTTTCTTTCATTAATATGTAAGATCTCTAAGATAAACGCAAAATTTCAGGCGTAGCTAGTACCCATAATCAAGTCATTATGTCCGTTTACAATTATATAAAGCGCCCGGGAAAGGAACTATACTTAATAACTACCTGATTCTCCATACACTCATAATTACCGTGAGTAGAATTCTGATGGATCGATAAGAGATCTGCGTGAACTTAAGGATGGACGATTATCGAATGTGGTATTAACGATTTTTGTGTTATTCGTGACCGGTTTTGGTAGGGTGATGGATTTTCAATTTCCATTAACTAACCTGTAAATTACGTTGTTTCGAGAAATATTCTCCATAGCAACTAAATCAACGCCTAGGTAGTTGTAGCAATAATGCGTATTCGAATCAATAGAAACACTCACTTGTCATTTTGCTGCTGTTTTCTAGATCCAAACTAAAATAGGCAACATAGTAGGGTAAATGCGGGAGAGTTGCCGCACTTTTTGAAAAATGGCTGTAATTTTCTTGATTTTTAACACTGTTCTTTAAAAATAAATCAATACAAAGGTACCGTATTAAACTTTATTGAGACATAAAAATAAACTTTAATTCTGAAGAAATATAGACAAAGCAAAAAAAAAATTTTTCTATTAAAATCGGCATCTCTCCCACACTACTGGGAGAGACGCCGCATCAAAAAAGGAGAGATGCCGCAGTATCGGCATCTCTGGAAAACCCCTAATTTTCATTTCTTTTTCTTAAGTCGAATCTAGAACAGATGTTACACACTTCACCATACATGGTACAAGTGACATGTAGCCACTTTAAGCATTTAAGGCATTGCAGCCAATCCACTGTTTTAGTTGTCGTTTCGTAAACTTCAAAGCATTCCACGCAGCGTTCCCGATTTTCATTTTTCTTTTTGACCAGAGGTTCATCGTCGCTGTCGCTCCATTGATTTTTTTCTGGCTCTTCCTCTAGCTGTTTTTTTTGTACTCTTAGTTTCTTTTTCTTCGCTGTCACATTGGTTGTGTTATGTTTGTCAGGGCGAACCCTCTTCGTTATGTTTTCAGGTGATGTTAACACAGCTGCGCTTTGCTTGAACCTTTGCTTGAAGGATACAGGTACTTTTGGGATAGGAGAAACTTCTTGCAAAAATTTTGAAGGAGTGATTTGTGGACCGTCGCCTTCATCTCCCCTACCACATGCTTGAGCAGAACTAGTAGGGCTGGTGGAGGGTAATCCTAAGCTGGGACGGTTAGCATCTCTTTCTGGGGAAGTATCTGCCATGGCTGAATCAGTTATAGAATAGAAGTGATCCGGAATAGCATTAGGATCAACAGGATATATCCCTGTTGCCTTGAAACCGTTAATGGCTGTGGCCACAGATGCTGATCTTAACCAACTTTTTCCAATTAATGCACCGGCTTGATATCTCGTCAAGTTTCTGCTGGCGTTGTGTTTCATCCATAACTGAGCTTCCTGGTCAAAATAAGTTTTAAAAGGCTTAAAAAAGCTTCGGTCTAGTGGCTGGGTACAGTGGCTTGGTAAACACAAGATAATTATATCGTTATCGTCAGCCACTTGCAGCATATCGCCGTCAGTACTGTGTGAAGTGTGGCCATCCAGGATTAATAAACACTTACCGGATGGCTTATTGGGGATAAACTGCTCCTTTAACCATTTGAGGAATAATTCCGAATTTATGAAGGATGACTTTCTATTCATATAAATTTTGGATCCAGCTGGCAATCCATCCGAAAATTCAGCCTTTCGGTTTACACCTTTGAAAATTAACGTGGGTGGAATGAACCTGCCGTCGGCACTACAGCATGCAACAACCGTTACATTTTCTCCTCGCTCTTTAGATGTTAAAACGTGGACATCTCTTGCACCTTTCGTTGTTAGTACTTTCCCAGGTTTGTTGATCAGTTGAACACCTGTCTCGTCCATATTGAAAATATGAGATGGCTTATCCAATAAATTATTTTCAGTTAGGATATCAATCAAAAGTTGAAAAAATTTGGAAGTTTCTTCTCTATTCATTCCTCGAGCTCTTAATAATGACAGTCCTTCAACTTGCCTTATTGTCAATTCGGGATTTCTTTCTAAAAATGATGACAGCCAAGAATAACCAGCCATCCCGCTGTTGTGTGAAAATTTGTGTTTCAATTTCAGCTTCTCAGCAAAATTATAAGCCAGCCGTCGAACTGTATTTCTATCAGGAGCAAATCCAGCCGCTGCCAATCGTTGGATGTGAACAACCAACCGTTTTTCATTTTTATGCCCTAGAACACCTTTAAAATAAATTATGCGGTAATGCTGAAGCAAAGTCTAAAAAATCACTTTACCTTCTGGTCCGAGACTCCCTTTCTGAAGATTACCACTGGCCATTCTACGTTTAAGGGTCTTTGGTGGGACATGATAACGCCTATGGGCTTCTCTTTTGGATATCTCACCGGAACTAACTTTATTAATGGCTTCTTGCAATTGTTCTTCGGTCCACAAAGCCCTACGGCGTGCATTTGCCTTCCTCTGATATTTCCGTGGCATTTTTCTAATCAAAATGTAACTTTAATTTGATAAAATCCATGACAAAACGATAACTTTGAAAAAATAATTTGCGGCATCTCTCCTTCCTTAAAATGCGGCAACTGTCCTTTTTGTTGGGAGAGATGCCGCACCCGCTTATCAAAATCACGCATTTACAACGCGACAAAATATAACATGGCATGTGTGGACATAACCTCAAAATACTGGAAAAAGCTTACTATTATCAAATAAAACTACCACCGTGCAAAAAACCACACTTTCTAGGATACAGGCTAAAATTTTGCAAAGAAAATTCGATCTTACCTTCCTAAATTCGAGGATAGCATGCAATATTCCAAAAAACAAACACGTTCGACGTCGTAACCGTTCACTAAATGATCGACTTTCAACATGGGTACACTCGGTTGCCTACTCTATGGCATTAGCGTTGAAATACGACAAAAGCGGCGTCTCTCCCGCCGCGGCAACTCTCCCGCATTTACCCTATACCAGAACCTATTGGAATGTATTGTATATCGTTTGAAAGGTCTATTTATGTAAAGTGAGGAGTACCATGCAGATTTTCAAAATTCGTTGTTCGATCGAACCCCAAAGGTTAGCGATTTTCACATAACTTTGCTTTCATCAATTTCCTATGTCTTTCATGAATTTGATCATATATTATTTATTCGTCAAGTAACACAAAACGCGTTTCTGTTTTTTTTGCATTTTGTCGAAACGCAACCTAGATATGTTCAAAGTGCAAAAGGTACCACTGTATTTCAAATAATTATCCCCATCTCCCTCATGCATACACAATTCATCTTTGAGTGTGAACGTTTGTTTATGAGAAATATAAACATAAATTTCTTGGCCGCCTCCAAAATGTCTTCGTAACGTATGAATATCCTGAGAGCATGTCTGACATTGTCAGTGTTAGTGCACGTTTACATCAAACGCGCTTCGCTTGGAGCTGTGCGCTTTGCTTTACAGCCCAGTAGGAAGCGAGAGGAACGACAACACAGCTTTAAATGAATGTGTTCAGACCGCGCGCATGGCGCTACGCGCTGTGCCTTACGTTATACTATGCGGAGCGGTGGAAAACGCGATGTGTTGGTTTTGCGTTGCGTTTTGCCTCGCTTGTTCAGACAACTCCGAGGGTTATCTGCATAAACACAATGGAAGAAGAAATTATCACCGCCGTTTTTAAACGAGAGGCAATATGGAATCCGAAGCATGCGTTGCATAAAAATGTATACGCGTTACAAAAAATGTGGAAAGAAATAGGAGACGAAGTTGGAAAAGATGGTGAGTTCATATTATGTTTTAACTAGGGATGGATATAATATATCAACTTTTAGAATGTGTCGATGTCTTCTTTTTGTTGTCCGTATTTTTGCATCGGTTTTGGTTTCCATGTATAGGGGCGTATTCGTGTTTTTATTCTATGTATAAGTGGTTTGCGATACGTCATCTGTATAAACCATCGTGTGTATGAGGTAGTAGCAGTTTTAATTTTTAAGGCAGAGTAGTTAAAGAACAAAATAATTAGGGAATAGAAACTCAAAGATAATACTATATAATACATTTATTGTACGAAAGAAAATTGATTCTGCCACTCAACTGCACCAGTAGTCACAAAATAATTTGTTAATATTTCTCTGGTTCTCTTTGCATCTTCGGAAAAGCGATACTGGGAGTGTGTGTAGGTACTCGGATTAATATCGCCGCTAAAGCCCGTCTGACATTCCTTATTTGTCTTAAATCCCTCCTGTTCTATAACAAAATTGTGCAAAATACAAATGGCCTTTACAATATTTATAGCTGTCTCAATTTTTGTTTCGATAGGTTTTAGTAAAATTCGCCATTTGCCACTCATTATGCCAAATGCGCATTCAGCACATCGCCGGGCTCTGGAGAGACGATAATTAAAAATTCTTTTTGAATTATCTAAATTTCTTCTAGGATATGGCCTCATTAGGTATGGAAGCAGAGGGTAAGCTTCATCGCCTACTATAACCAATGGGGCTTTTATATTTGTTTGTGGTAAGCATTGATCAGGTGGGACGTCAAGCTCTTTTCTGTCTAATGCTCGAAAAAGCGACGAGGACCTAAAATTTCCTCCATCGCTTTGGCGTCCAAAACTCCCAATATCAACCGCAATTAATTTACAGTCAGCATCAACTAGGGCTTGAAGTAATATTGAAAAATATTGCTTATAATTATAGTATAGAGATCCGGTATTGGAGGGACATTTAACTTCAATATGTTTGCCGTCAATACTGCCTATGCAATTTGGAAAATTCCATTTGGTCCAATATTGTTGTGATTTATTGTGCCACGTTGCTTGTGTAGGTTTTGGTAGGTAATCACTTTTCATGGTATCCCATATTACCATGCATGTATGATTTACAATATTTGAAACTGTTGCCACCCCCAATCTGAAGTGTAGAGCTAGGGATCGATAGGATTCTCCAGTAGCAAGAAATCTGCAACAAACATACATAAAATATGCTTGGTGTTAATAGCAATTTTTGTTTCAGTTCAAACTGTTAAAAATAAATGGAAATACTTGAGGGACTACTTTAACAGAGAAACAAAAAAGTTAGAAAAACCCAGATCAGGCAGTGGAGCAAATGAAGCTGTAGCAAGTCCTTGGCAATATTATTCTCTTTTGTTATTTTTAAAAGACCATCTGCAAACCCCACTGAGGGATGCAAATATAGAAGCGGAAAGGGTCACAGAAGATATTGACTTAGAATATAATGATATACAGGACGTAGAGTCGCAAGATTCTGACAATGTTTTGTCACCGCCATCGACCAGCAGTCAAGCACCTTCAAGGTCTGCAAGCCGATTATCTTCTACTTCTGAAACTCGGAAGGGGGCGCAGAAGCGAAAGAAGCAACTGGCAACAGAAAACGACAATAGCGAACTAATAATGTTAGAAAAACGGAAACTTGAGCTCCTAGAGTCTGAATCACTTAAAGAAAATGATGATGATCTTTTGTTCCTAAAGAGTCTTTTGCCATACATGAAGAGTCTTCCTGCTTCAAGAAGATTACGTCTAAGATTAAAGTTTCAGGAACTGCTTCTTCAGCAAGTTGAGGAGCATGAAAGTGAAGTTTCACAAAATGTTTGTGGACAACCTCCGGCACGTGTCTTTACCTTCCCCGCTCCCTCAAGTTCCGCTTCGGACAATCATACATACCATCATCACATACCGATACAGTCAACACATCCGGATCCGACCACACACAATGTATCTGAAGGTAGTGAATTGGACACCCCTATGCGAAGTTTTTTTTCAGGATATAACGCGTAACATTTTTATTCGGACAAATGTATTTTTTAATAAAATAAAACTCAGTTTTTCATAAACACTATAATTTTATTTTGGCTTACCTCAATGTTATAACCAAACGTTGTTCTGCTGAAATCCTTTCACGGAAATTGGTTCCAATCCCACATAAATAAGGATCCAAATGGCTTAGGAGAAGGTCGAAAGATTCCTTTGACATCCTCAAGTATTCATAAAATTTTTCTGGATATTTTCTGGCATCTCGATAGAGGTGATAGAATTCTCCGAACGATTTCCTACATATATTAATCTCATGCACCCACGATCGTTTTAGTTTTTTTCTATTCACTTTCAACGCAATACTTTCGAGTAGTAATATCTTCTTAACTCGTGAAGGAGCCATGGTGAAATGCTTGGAAAATGCGTCTTTAAATATAAAGTGTGTTTTAATAACAGTCGAGGTATGAAAAGCGAAGCGCCTCCGATATGAATGAACCCGAACGCATAGAGGTTCGCTTGACATGAAGTGAGGCGCACAGCTCCAAGCGAAGCGCGCTCGATGTAAACGTGCCCTAACTCTATTGTCATTGACGTGCAATTTGAGCTTACCTCTTCTCCAGTTTCATTAAAAGTTACAGTAGTTCTTGGAGAAGCGATTAGTGAACAATGAACTGTTTGTGTTAAAGAAAGTGGATGAAAACAACGGTCCGAGTAGCAGCTCTATTGAAAATCGTTTAGCGCAGTGTTATATTCCCTTAGTTAGGAAGAAATAAGGTACACCTATGTCACAATTAGTCGTATAGCATTGATGACGTACCCGGTAAGAACTATAGTTGCTTTTGCAAATATTTGACAAATAACAATTTTTGGGTATATTTTGAACACACTGTTTTATAAGAGACTTAACTTATTCTCGTATGGAGTTTTTTCTTAAAATCAAATCGGTAATCACCACCTAAAACAATTTCAGCGATTTCTATAACATTCTATACGTTGCGTTACTAAGGAACGTGGGTAAAAAAATAGTTGAACCAAAAGCTGAATAACTGAACATTGTTATATTCTCTGCACTTATACCATATCCGAATAACTAAACGTTGATCTATTCTCAGCTAATATGCTTTATCAAAATGCGGTCTTATACTTTGTATTCCAAACTTCAAACACCTGCTCTAAAACGTGCCAGGTATCGGATTGAAAACGCCTCAAAATAATGAAATTTTACATCATTTTTCTCAAAAAGGACAACGTATTTTCCATTTGACAAAACCTATCCACTTATTGCTTTTGGTCTGGTACCACAATGCCCATGCTCTTTTACACTTTCCCTCTTTAGTCCGTCTCTGTTTCACTTACCCCTCCCTCCATCTGCCTACCTGACCACCGTTGTATGAAGACCTTCGTCTCTGCCATCCCCAACTGAAACGCTCTCCAGGTGGGAACAGCGGGACGCCATCTCGAATGCACCAATCACATCACGGTAAAGAAACAAACGAAATCACGGCCTGTTTCAATCCCACCACAGTGCTCAGGCTGGTTATCGTGCAGTGGTTGCTGACACGCTATTACAGTTTTTTTGTTGTTGAAATGTTTTTTCTTGCCGTGATGTGAGCTGATGTAAGGTAATGTAGGTGTAGTTATTACCGTTTTGTACAGGTTCATTAATAACCCTCATGTTTTGATTAACTCATTTTTTTAACTTTGAACTATGTTCTTAATGAATAGATGTAGTTTCTGTCTTAGTCTGGTTGCATTTACTACAGAAATTCACAATCTAGAAACGACATAACAAGCTTAACTCTGCTTTGCACACTCAGAACGTACTTACTTTATTTGTACTGAAGCTTTTAAGTATTTAAAAAGACCCAAGTTTTTCTTTAAAAGTCTAGCTTCTAGGAGTTCAAGTCCTTGGTTTTTTCCAGACTTTAGTTGCTCTTATCATTTGTCGAAAGACACTGTGACATAACCTACACACAAAACATACGTTTATAGCTACGTATTCTATCTTAATTTCATTTTGAATTGAGTTAGAAACGTTCTCGCCTAATTACTGACCAGTAATTGACTCCATTATCTTTAAAATGAAATGAGATCCATCCCAATTTTTATCTTGACCTTTATAGAAAGTTAGAAGTTGTGCATTGATAAAGCCGCACAAACCATCACTTTTGATAAAT